GTCCCGGGGCCGAGCGGCGCGGGGCCGGGCTGCTGGGCTCCGCCCCCGGCCGGAACCGAGGACGCCACCCCGGGACGCCTCGGGCCGGGTTATTCTTGTCCTTGCTGCTAGATCCTCCTGCGTACCCTCCCTGCCCAGAGCCTGCCTCCCTCCCTCCAGTGTTCTGGGTGGCAAGGGTTGCCCGCAGACTTCCAGCAAGTTCCTCCAGCCTTTCGGCACTGCTGAGCCCTCCGCACCCCCCTGGTCCCCGTGAGCCCCAGGCCCAGCCCCTGTGTCCGTTCAGTTTCCCAGGCGGCAAGAGCGAGCCCGCTGACCGCGACGTGGTGCACACGGCCTTGAGGGAGACCCAGGAGGAGCTGGGCCTGGCCGTGTCGGAGGAGCAGGTGTGGGGCCTCCTGCACCCCGTGTTTGACCAGGTGAGACCTGCGTCCTCACCCACGGACCAGGGGAGTGGCCACGGCTTGGCTTCCCGCAGGCTGCCGTAGCAAGCCTGGGCCTGGCCTTCCGCCTCTCACAGCTCTGTGGTCCCTGGGGCTGGGGTGGGAGCTCTGCTTAGCTCCGGACAAAGCTCAGGGATGGATCCCCGGCCTGGATGACAAGTTGAGTGTCCTACAGAGGAGGAAGGGGGTACTACGCAGGGGGAAGGGGGGCGCAGAGCCAGGGACATTGGGGGCCCCAGTGCCTTTGGGGCCCTGAGTCAGGCGAATGGTTAGAGTGGGGTCAAGGGGTCAGCAGCTGGTGTGCCGGGCCTCTAGATGGGCCAGGGGAGGCCTTCCTCCTGAATTCTGATCACAGCCCCTCCCACTCCCTCCCCTATTGCCTCTGCGCTCTGCTCCCACACCAGAGTAAAACCTCCGTGGTGCCAGTACTTGCCAGCGTGGGTCCTTTGGATCTGCAGAGCCTCAGGCCTAACTCCAAGGAGGTGAATGAGGGGACCACCAGGGGACTGGGTGGCCCCCCTGGGGGATGCTGCAGTGGCCAGGCCTCTGTCCACCCTTCTCTGCCTCCTGCCCGTAGGTAGATGAGGTGTTTGTGCTGCCCGTGGACCATCTGCTGCAGACACGGAACCAGGGTTATACTCACTTCTGCCAGGGAGGCCACTTTAGTTACACACTTCCGGTCTTCCTACATGGACCACACCGAGTCTGGGGGCTCACGGCTGTCATCACTGAGTTCACCCTGCAGCTGCTGGCTCCTGGCACCTACCAGCCCCGCCTTGTCAGCCCTAAGCCCCCCAGAGACTGATGCCTGGCACCTCTGCGGCCACTGACTTTGCCCTGCTAGGCCCCTCTGAGATGGAATAAAGCCTTTGACAACTATGAGCTCCTACGTCTGCATGGAGAGCCTGACTTCTGTGTGGGCAGCTCCGGAGGCTGCTGGCCAGGGCTCCTCTGTCCATGTTCCCTACAGCAGGGGTGCATTTTGCGTGGCCCTGCCTCCACGCTGCCCCTGCCATGAGACTGGAGCTTGGGATGGAAAGATTCCTTGCCCAACGTCACGAGGCTGCAATCTGCACTTGGACTCTCTGACTCTGAAAGCCAGACTGTTACCACTGCCACTTCCTGCCATTCAGTCTTCTGTGCCTGTGTCAACAGAAGCTTGTCCCCATGAGGGGCTCTGGGTCCACAGATTAGAATATGGTGCATGTACTCCCCCAATGTGACCACACAACAACATGCCGAGCCTTTGTGTGCAGGCTCTACAAAGGGAACACATCTATAATCTGCGCTAGAGGTGAGGATATGCAGTCTGGGGGGACCTTAGGCTGGCTTACACTGGTCACACATGCACACATGCAGATAGTCATGGGATTCTACATCACTTACATAGACCAGGGCTGTGGAAACGAGTTGAGGGTCATTGAAGGAACAGGTGGTCTGACTTTGACAGGGTGGTATGGGCAGACTTCTTGGGCAATATCAACAGGTCAAGTCAGGTAGAGAATTCCACCCATAGCTAACTTTGCCTGAAGATAAATGGTATCATAGACTCCAGACATAGCTAGTTTCAGGCGTAGCTGGGATCCTGGGCCTGGGAGAGGGGTCTCTTTTCTTTCCACTTTGCGGGCCTCACTTCCCAGGGGCTTAGTGCATAGACAGGACAGACAAAGAGAGGGCAGGAGCTCTAGGATGCCATAGCACCCACATTCCATCAAAAGGAAAAGCTGTTTCCCAGCCAGTCCGACTCAGAATTGCACTTCATTCAACTGCTTTGGTCACATGCCATCTCTGAGCTCATCACATGACCTGCCAGATTTGAACACATGACTGACAGGGCTTCCGGAGGAGCCTCCTCGACTGAAAAGGTTCCCTGGAAGAATACAATATAAAAAATGGATTAAAGAAGGGTTCAAATTGCTAGGAGAAACCACGGGTAAATAAATGCTTCAGACATTGGTCTGGGCAATTTTGTTTACAGGATTCAAAAAGCACTGGCAGCGGGTCAGCGGTGCCTCACGCCTGTCATCCTAGCTGCTCAGGAGGCTGAGATCTGAGGATCGCAGTTCAAAGCAAGCCTGGGCAGGAAAGTCCATGAGACTCTTTGATTAATCACAGAAAAAGCCAAAAGTGGAGCTGTAGCTCAAGTGGTAGAGTGCTAGCCTTGAACAAAAAGAGCTCCGGGACAGTGGCCAGGCCCCAAGTTCAAGCCTCATGACCTAAATAAATAAATGACAAAGGACAGGCATTTCCCCACAAAACTAAAAGAATCAACATTTCAAATCATTAAGGAAATATATAGCAAAGCTATAATGAGTTATCACTTCATACCTCCTGGGGCATGCACCAGACCCAGGGTTCCATCCTCAGCACTCAAAAAAGGAGGAAAAGGCCCGTGGCTCACACCTGAATCCTAGAAGACTGAGAACTGAGAAGACTGAGAGACTGAGAAGACTGAGAGCTGAGGATCAACGTCCAAAGCCAGCCTGGGCAGGCAAATCCCTGAATTTATTTTTATTTTTTACTAGTCGAACTCAGGGCCTGAGCTCTGTGCCTGAGCTTTTGCTCAAGGCTAGCATTCTACCACTTGAGCCACAGTGCCACTTCTGGCTTTTTCTGTGGCAAAAACTCTAACACTAAGCCACCTTCCCAGCCCCTCCCTGAAATTCTTGTCTCCAGTTTGCCAGCAAAAAGGCAGAAATGAAGGTGTGACTCAAGTGGCAGAACACAGTCTTGAGTGGAAAAAGCCAAGCAGGAGTGCCATAGTATTTATAGAAAATGGTTGAAGGTTCTTTACCAAACTAAAGAGAGCTAGAAGCAGTGAATCATTCCTGTAATCTTAAGCTACTCAAAGGCTGTGATCAAGAAGATCAAGGTTCAAGGCCAGCCTGGGCAAGACCCTTCCTAACCCATAAGTCTCACTCCAGCTAGGAGGAGGCTGAGATTGAGAGGCTATGGTTCCAGGCCAGTTTAGGAGGGGAAAAAAAAAAGTTTAAGAGATTTGATCTCAACAGAAGCTGGGCATATGCACATCTATCATCCTAGATATGACATAAAACATTAAAAAATAATGAGGATCACAGTCCTGCTGTGGGCCCAGGGCAAAAATAAGACCATGTCAGAATAACTAATGCAAAAAGTGCCGGAGGACTGGCTTTTCTGTAGAACACCTGCCTATAGAGCACGAAACTCTGAATTCAAACCTTTGTAACACACACACACACACCATCTGAAAAAGAGCAAGGCACAGGGGTTCACACCTACAATACACGTACACCAACTACTTGGAGGCTGAAATGGGGAGGATAATATTTTGAGGCCAACCCAGGACCACTGCCCGCCAAAAAACTAACTTGTCATGCTAGTTACATGGAACATAATCCCATGTCTGTGTATAAACACAAAGGAATAAAAAATCAGCACAGTGAAGGAGACGCACACACCCAAGTTCATTCCAACACTATTCCCAATAGCCAAGATAAGGAATCAACTTAAATCAATCAGCAGATAAATGGATAAAGGAAATGTGATTTATCTACATGGAATAGAATTGAGTGTTACTCAGTCTTTAAAAAGAAGAGAATTTAGGGCTGGGAAGGTGGCTCAGTGGTAGAGCGCTTGCCTTGCATGCCTGAGGCCCTGGGTTCGATTCCCCAGCACTACATAAGCAAAAAGAAAAAAAAGCCGGGAGTGGCACTGTGGCTCAAGTGGTAGAGCGCTAGCCTTGAGCTGAAGAGCTGAGGGACAGCGTTCAGGCCCCATGACCGGACCCCCCCCCAAAAAAAAGAAGAGAATTTAGCCAGTGTGGCGGTGCATACCTATGACTCAGTACTTTGGAGGCTGAGATAGGAAGATTGCAATTTCTGAGGCCAGCTTGGTCTGCATAGTGAGACCCTGTCATTTTCAGAAACAGGGATAGAGCTGGAAGTCATGCCCAGATAAGAGATGCAGAGCAGTGGTTATCAGTGGCCAGAGGCTGGGAAGGGGACAGGGAAGGTCAATGCAAACCGGTTAAACAAGAGGAAGGTGCTTTGGTGACCTGTGCATAGGGAGCCACCATAGTTAATAGTGAAACGTCTCATCACCCCACAGGGGTGAGTACGCCTGTTAGCTGGATGTCACCTTTGTATGCGGCATACTTACACTGGAATATCACCTCACTCCCAGAACCATCTGCATGTGATTTCTCAATTAAGAGTTTAAAAGTAAAAGCACAAGCCAGGTGCTAATGGCTCACTCCTTCAATCCTGGCTCCTCAGAAGAGAGTTGAGGGCTTGAAGCCAGCCTGGGCAGGAAAGTTCGGGAGACTCTATCTCCAGGTTACCAGCATAAAGTAGAAAGTAGAGCTGTGTCTCAAGTGATAGAGTGCCAGTCTTGAGAGATTAAGCCAATAGTGTGAGGCCCAGCCTTCCAGCTTCAGTACCATAAGGTCACACACACATAGACACATGTGCGTGCGCGCGCACACACACGCAC